CTCCTTGGAGCTGGCGGAAGGCAGAGCAGCAAGCGGGGCTGGACCGCATCTCCTCCCTCCTGCAGTGGCTGCATTGCGTTGCCCACTGTCGTAATGCTGGGAAGGCAAAGGAGGCACCAGCTCTCGCAGGAAAAGCAGTGGGGGTTTTTTGCCTGGGGAAAATAAAATACCAAATGCGTACAGCAGATTAGGGGAGTCTGAGTCCTGTGTGTAAACCGCTGCTATCAGTTAGGTTACACATATGGTATAAGCAGTGGCCTGACAGAATGAGAAGCGAGAGAGGATAGGGGGCAAAAAAGGGGAGAGGGTAGCTGGGAAGTGTATGACACCTATAGGTATTAAAAAAACAAAACAAAACAAAACAAAAAAAAAAAAAAAACAAAACAAACCACCACCCCCCCCCAAAAAAAAAAAAAAAACAAAAAAACAAACACCCCTTTATGCTGCCAAGTGAAACTTAAGAGTTTCTATGGTACGATAATTTGTCGAAACTGCAAAGAAGAAAGTATTTTCTGTATTTTCACCTGTGATGTAGATCTCGATGCCAATGTTAACAAATACTGGTATTTCAAAATGAGTGAGTATGTACTCCATAGGTAGCCTACCCTCGTAGCATTTTGCACAAAATTGGAAGTGCAAGATGGAAGAACGCGAATAGTTTGCTGGGCATTAGTCCTGTTGCAGCAGAGATCTGGGACGGGGAGCTTGTTAGAGGAAAAGGCTGTGAAGAGGTGGCGGGCACTGAAGGAACGCTGCCATCAACTCTACCACTCGTATTACTTGCGTGGCTGTACAGCTGCTTTGCTGTTGAACCCAAGTTCCCTTTTAAAAAGCTAATCCATGTGTTGTATATGTCGAAATATGGTAGTCCTCTTGATTTTATTTATACTGTCATGAAAATTGTTCTAGGTTGTGAACAGGCCCTCTGAGTAGCAAGGAAGGCTTTTGACATTAGCTGAATTAGCCCCAAATCAGTCCTTAAAATAAGAGGCCCAAAGAACCACAGCCCATTGTGCTTTTGCTGGCAGTCTTGGTGTCTACTTGCTATGCATGGTCTAGCTGATTTTCACCAATGGGTTGCCAACAAAGAGTGGTAGATCAATAAAGAATATGAAAATAAATGATGTCAAATACCTGAAACCAACTGCTAATGACAAATATGGGCTTTGGTTTTGGTAGAAATTGTGTAGGAAAAACACTGAGGAAAAGCACTATTTAGTGCAGGCAACCTATGAGAAGAAAAGGAGGATGTTTTGAGTACGCTTTTCACAAGTACATTATGCACTCAGCTCATGTGTTGCTGTGTTTATAAATTCCATAGCAAAGTTCCTGCAGTATTATAAATAATAAAATAATCTTCAGAAACCACTTACCTGGTTTTGTAGACGATACCCCTTAGCAAATACTGGGTTTAGACAGAATTCTCATCCTATCAAAATGTAAATTGCAGACTGATGTTACACGGTGATCTGTGTCACACCTTTTAAAAGTAACGAAGAGTATCAGTAGAAGGCAAGAACATGGGGGGGGGGGGGGGAGGGGGGGAAGAGAGGAGAAACCACACTATTTAAATTTGAAGAAGAACATATCTGACAGCTGAGTGAACAAAAAGAATAGGCATCAAAGACATCTGCGCCTTGACAAATGTTGGGAGGAATCCCTCGTCTTTGTTTGGACTATCCATAGATGCGAGTTCATTATCAAGCAGTTCTGCATGCGTGACTGCCTTCATTTTCGATAAAGTAATGCTCTTTTAGGGATGTCAGTAAGTAATAACCTTGCACATGGAGGGATATAGGATGTGGTATTTTGTAAAATACTTCCAAATTTCTATTATTAATAAAAGGCTTGTAGTTTGGCTCTTTTCAGGGCTTTTTTTTTTTTACTGTCTTTTGGGTGAGGTGAGGTGGGGGAAGGCACTAAATCTGACAGTTTACTAGAAACGGTAATACGTAGCATGGAATGCTATTAAGGAGATTATGTTATCTCCTAGGAACAGAGAATGCTGTGGTCAACGGGAAATCAATTTCCGAGGGTGCTACAGTAAATTTGTCTTGTAACTGGAAACTTTCTAATTGCTGCCCCAAGGGAACAGTAAGCTGAAAATCAGGCAGATGGTTTCCTCCCCATTTCCCTTATTCTTTGATTCCATCTAAATTATTTCTAGCTTCCTAGTAACTTTGTGTGTTAAATGTTTGAGAATGTTTTAACGCTATCGTAGTTGCTCTCACTTGTACAGTAACATTGCTGTTCGAAAGCCAGATGTTTTTTGTTAGGTTTTGGGAGAGATTTAAATCTGTCTGCTTTAGATTAAGCCACTACTTCGAATTATAGCATTAGCAATTCGTATGAAGGAGAAATTGTTTTTTATTCCATGCTATGCAGCAGAAGGATCGTGTCCTTTTTTTATTTTTTTTTTCCCTTCAAGCAGGGACTCAGAAATGGCCTTTTTTCCCTGTTCCATCAATTCATTGAGACTTTCATTACTCATGTCATCTGAAAAGCATTCTAGGGTCAAAGATATAGCCTAGCTTTTGTGACTTATGATTTTATTCATGATTTACAGTTAAAATTCAATAGGATGGAAAGGCCAGTTGTAAATCGGTACTTTAGAAGGAAGGTAGAGCCCATTTCCTTATAAGAGCTTTGGGAAATATTTGGTTGAGATGGTCTATGAAGAGGAGATATATTGAACATTGCCTTTCTTTGTTCTGGAAGTTTGTCTGAATGCAGGTAGTAGTCTATGAAAACTAAAATGAAAAACATAACAGAAAAATAAGTCACAAAGAACTTGTTGTGGTCAAGTTCCAGTTTGAGCAAAAAGCAGAAAGGCCTGCTTGAAATACTCGGTGGAGTTGGAAGCCGAGGAGTGAATACAAACGTGAGCTGTAGGCTGAATTTGGAGCCCCTTGAAAACTTCACAGTATCATTACATTCCTACAAAATGTAAATATTTTCTTTAGGGAAAAAAAGTTGGGAGGAAATTGTTCAGGTAAGATAGAAAAAGTCAGTTTTCCTTCTTTTTTGCAACTACACTATGCTTCAGAAACATTTTAAAATTTTATTTGAAGTAGGTACTTATCTACCATTTATTCCTGACCATCACAGGTACACATGATCAGATAACATACCAAGTACTTATGAGCAAACTACATCAATCACTAAATCATCTCTAATACATGCCACAAATTAGTTTCTAAAAAAACATTATCAGACTAGTTGATAATTGTTAATTTTACAAATGCCTAAATACCACTTATAATAATAATAAACAAATTAATTACTGGTTGGAGTATCAATCACTAAATAATTTTTTTACATCATAATTTAAAAACAACAACAGAATTATCATTTTGAATACAATGTAGTAAAATGAAAATGAACTGAAATATATCTCACCCAGAATTGGTTCAATTTTTTTTTAAGAAAATTGATGCTCGGTGAGAAATTGCATAATTTTTTCTTTTGAACCTAATGGGACTCTTTCTTATGTTGTATGTGCTCTTAAATTGAGAGTTTCTTGTAAATGGATATCATTATTCTCAACAAGAAACAAGTAAGATTGTTACAAAATAGTTGGTGTTTGAAAATCTTAAAAGTGGTAGAACCATGTTTGTATTTTATCTGCAGTGCAGCAAGTTCTGGCAATGAATGGTTGCGTTTGATGATAATTACGTTAGTGTCAGATCTGTGAAATGCTTTGAAAATTTATGGAAAACCTTCATTAGCCATCAGAAGCTCTTTTAAATATGATGGTTAGCAGGTACTTGTTTTACTGTGGTATTTGGGAGTTGTAGTCATATACTAGGATGCAAATTTGTGGTCGCTCTAATGACTGATCTCTCCTCAGGAAGATAGGTAAACCTATGCTTATAATTAAACAGACGTTTACTTGCTTTGTTGGTGTGCATTTGATTTCTAGGAAACTACTTCTATATCCCTTCTCTGGTTTAAAAAAAAGAAAGGATGGTATCTGGCTTTCAGACTTGTGGGCCTGGAATAAACCTGCTTAAGCTTTAGGATGTGCAGGGTGGGCAGCAGCAAGCAGGCAAACTGTCTGGTCTTTTTTTGGTCCAAAATAATTTCCCAGTTTCAGTCTTTGAAGGAGCAATACAAAATCTAACCTTGGCAAAGGAGAACATCGTACTTCTGTATGCTTTTTTTCAATAACCAAGCCATGAATTTGCCCGTTTCCTTTTTATTTAATGTGTTTAGGTGAAGTCAAACTGGTATAAACCAGGAGTTTTAAATTAAAAGGAGAGTTATAAAAGCGTAAGTTCTTTCCCACCTAGACACCAGAGTCTGGATTTTTAGTTTAAGGGAAGTACTCATTTTGCTTTTTGGAGCAGCTGCTTGGGGAAGCAGATTTTATAAATTGTATTCTTTGCTTCTGATGCTCACTTTGGGTGTCTTACTTAGTATTCTGTTTACAAAGCACTCTGCAGAGTGTTTGACAAAAAGCAGTGATTACACACAGGAACTGCTGTTTTTTCAGTTTTTTATATGTTAATGTTCACTTAAAATTTTCATGAAGCTCTTTCATGTGAAATGTGTAGAACTTAGAACTGCTATAGAATAAGTGACTTCTGGTGTGAGGGTATGAAGTGTATATATAGCCTCTTCATTAGAGAAATAAGAAAAAAGTAAGGTTTAAGTTATTTCTGGAAGTGAATTAATCTGTAATTCTCATGTTTATCTTTAAAAATGTGTAATATATAAGTATTTTGAAGAACAACCCTCCTGAAATAAAAACAGATCAATTTGTTGAAAGTCTTGTTATTATACATAGCTTTTCTTTTTTTTTGGACCGCTGTTTTGAAATACTTTTATAATATTCTATGGTGTGAGAAAATGGTGGCCAAACGCCAATGAGCTGATTCCTCAACAATAACTGGGCAGTAGATTTCTGATGCGGGGATTTTTTGTTGTCTTTTTATATCTGTATAGTGGGTAAAATATGCCACATTTGTGATGACAGCTACTTTTGTTTATTTTTGTAGGGTTGACCCAAGGACAGCTTCATTCTGCAAGAATCAGTTAGCAAGATCTGCATATTGTTCCTAAGGGGAAACATGTCTGAGATTGACTATGAGAAGTTAGCTGAAATAGGTAAATATTTTTTATTATACTTCAAATGACATCTGTGTAAAGTTACAGGTGATTTAATAGAGCATCTTTAGTAAGTGAGAGGCTTCACCAATATTTTGTAATACTTCTTGGAGCAATCCAATATGACTTACAGCCACTGTACTGATGTGTACCCTATTAAAGCCATTAGGGTTGAAGGTTAGTTTAATACATGCAGTTTTTATGAATTATTGGTAGATGTTCCTAGTGCAATTCTAGGCTATTGGAATATCACCATCATCACATTTTGTGGCACAAATGGGAGTCATTACTCCAAACAGACAAGTATTGAAAGCGTAGAGATTGCTGTATTGCATGTTATCTCCAAAGATGTTAGTTGAGCTGAGCAATATGAACATGGCATTAGGGGCCTCATCATTTTGAAAGATTAGTGTTAGATTAGTGTTACATTTGATATTTTTTTTCCCTTGAGTTTTTGAGGCTGAACCCCAGAGCAAGACTCTTCCAGGTGTGGGTGAGTTTTTTGGTTGTGTTTTCCACACCTTAGTGCCCCTCCCTCCCCCCCCCCCCCCCCCCCCCCCCCCCCCCGCCTTTTGTCTCGCTTTCCTTGTCCCTCACCTTATCTCTGATTTCCCTAGCTCATGACTTTCAGAAGCAGCTGACTGGCTTTTTTACTCCTAGGCCTGATTCAAAATCCTCTGAAAACAATTTTCCCCTCAGTCTTGACAAGCTCTGGATCAGGTTTCTCACGTTGTCTCCCAGCCTGGGTTAAACAGCAATAACTGTGAATAGTAACAGATGATCCTCTGCTGTAGCTCATGGAGCAGGGCAAAAAACTCCTCTGTCATTTGCAGGAGAAAAATGGAGCTGAGGTATCCCTCAGTTTGGAACAATGTCTCTTCTTTTTTTATTTGTGTTTATTACAAAACATCTCTTGGGCTCCAGTCCTCTTGTTCACAGGTTTTAAAAAAAGAAAAATAAATATACTAAGAATTATCTTACTAGGTTAGGGCTAACTAGTTAACTAGCTTTTCAGTAGGTATGATTACTGTTGGGTCTTCTTTAATCCCGGTGAGTAAGTGCAGTACAGATGGGTGTGGGTATGTACTTTGCTTCTCTGGTTTTTAGGCACATCTCGGAGCCAGACAGATTGATATCTGTACTTTGTTACAAATCCTTACCCCTGCTTTTTGGCAACCTGTCTATTTTTATGCACGCTACAAAATAATTTTTTATGGAAGGAGTTAGTCTCTGCCTCTGTGCCAAAGGCTGTAGTTAGCACATTGGTTGTTTCTTTTGTGTTTAACTTAAATATACATTTCACTTTTAATAAAGCCTGGTAAATTTCAGTGGATTATGGTAAACAGTTTACAGCTCCTGCTTCACATTCCCAGAGACTAGCATTTTCTATTTCTTTTTCTCCCTCCCCTTTGCAACTTTTTGTTACTTTAGGTGGTTACAGTGCTTAAATGTGGGGGAAAAAAAAAAACAAAAAAACCAACACAAAACAACAAACAAAACCCCTAATAAACAAAGTAGTGTTTTCCTTGTTCTGGATTTTAACATGACTGAAATATTTTTAAAAGGAAAAAATTGTGAAACTCATAGACTGCGTGATGTATATTTTATTATTCTCCGCTCTTGGGACAAATATATTCTTTAAAGTGTGGAAAATACTTTTCCCGTTAAGGTTAGTGTAGCTTTTTATGAATGATACACTCCTGAAGGGTATAAAAATACACATTTTTGAAATAAGAATTTAAACTTTTTTTGTGTATATTAAAAGGACTTTAAAGGTATATTTCTAAAGGTAGATTTCTGCTCGCCGCCACCCCCCGCCCTGGACTGCTGATCTGTTTTCTGATGAGTCTTTAATGTAAATTCAGACATAAAGAAATGTAAAAGTAGTACATGTGTTCCTGACTTCTCTTTGTCTGTGAGAAGCCCAGCCACTAGTAGCATTTTTCATCCTTGTGAAATGCATTTTTGGTACAAATCACATTAAAAATGAGGCAATAAAGCTTTCATGTGGCTGTTTATAGGATAGAAAGATGCTGAGAAACTGTGAGTGAAAAGCATTCCAAAATATTTAGTAAGAGTTTTTCTCTAACACTTATTAGCTACTGGTATATAAATCTGGCAGAAATCAATACTTAATATATTCTGTCTGCCCTAGTGTGTCTTGTGTGGTGGTCAAGGCATATGAAATATGCAGATGATCAGAAAGGCATATGTTCATGAAGCAATTTTAAAAGTGGCACTAATAATGTTACAGATTCTACCTTCTTAAAATGTACATGATAAAAAGAGATGGATGATGTGAAGGGGGTAGTGCACCTAATCAGAACATTATTTTTTCTCTTTCTGTGCTGTTAAACTACCAAGACACTTGTGTGTTTGTGTAGCAATTTAATGTTATTCCTGTCAGTTTCTAGGAAATATTCATTTGGATAGTGTAGAAGCATTAGTGACAGTAATTATCCCAGAATCCGTGTTCATTTGAATATGTACTTAGGATCAGCTCTGTTTTGAACCTTACAACAGTTTGGAAAACACTTGAGAAATAAACAAGCCAAACAAAACCAAAAAAACCTGGAACAAGATTGATAGACCTTGTGTTGCTCATTTCAGTGCAGAGTAGATTTTAATTTTAGGATCTAGTCTAGATTCTACTGAAGTTGGAGTGCCCATTGATTTTTACTGGGCTTTGAGCAAACTTTTACGCCTTTGCTTGACCTCTAGCTGAAATTACATGCTGGATGGACATTTGGCTGCCTTGCCTATTGCAAGTTCAGAAGGTTAAAGGATTTCAAGGAAACAGTGGATTCTAGGGGAGGTGAGATGGAGATTTGTTTGCAGTTTACTAACTTGATGCTATGTGGTGAGTCTGCTCTCAGAGAGCATTCACACGTGGTGTTAATGTGGAGTAACTGTCAACGCACATGTTAGCATACTGAAACTTTGACTTCTTCATTTGGGCAACCTTGAAACAAAAGACAAGAAGCTGCAGATGGATGCAAGAAGCAGATTGTGGGAGTATAGGTGAGACAACACCAGCAGTCATGAATAGCAGGGTCAGAGCATGCCAGCTGTCCCGTCATTGTCAAGATTTTTGTGAGCATCGCAGTAGGTATTAATCTTCGGGTGGATGTGAAGGTAGCTTTGAGGTATTGAAGAGTTGCTTTTCTCACACATGAGAAAGGGTAAAGAACAAGAAACTGATTTGAAACTGCAACAAATGGTGATAAAGGCCTCTGGTTTTGTCAAACTGAGCTAAAATTCAACCCTTTAGTAATACATTGGAGGCAAAAGATTTTCTCTGTTCATTAGCACTTAAGCATTCTTGCTTGCTCCTTTAGAACTGCAGAAAGATGAAGCAGAAGATACACAGTCAGAACAGAAAGAAACATTATTGCCTTCACCACCTGAGGATCCTGAGCTAAATATCAATCACCCCTACTACGATGTTGCGAGACATGGCATCATCCAGTTAGCAGGTATGTTTGGAAGATACTATGCCTTTACCTTACTACATCACATTTTTCTTACTGTACTCCTCAAGGTGACGCATAGGAATCATGTTGATGCTTTCAGCCTTCATCCTGAAAGGCAGCTGAATAGAAATATGTGAGCTCAGTGCTTTTCTACAGATGAATTGTGAGCCAAATATTTGAGCTTAATCTTGCTTTAAAATATAACTATAGTGATATATTATAATCTAAGGCTTAACTGTGACTGTAACAGATTTGTACTTTATTTGTGATATGCTGTTTTGTTTTCTGAATAACCTGAATTGTTGTGTAGCCACACATAATCATTTTTCTAGTCTGCCCTGGAAAGGGTGTGCAACTGAAGAGATATGGGTAACTGTATAAACACTGACAAAAGGCAGAAAGGAAACTGTTGATGTAAATGTTAACTGCATGTATCATTTGACTTTCTGTTGTGACATAGAGAGAAGCTATGGGTACATAGCATAATTGAATATTGGATCATATAATGTTTGCAGTTATTTATTTTTAAAACATTCTGGCAACATATAAGACATGTAGGCATATTTATGATAAGGAAGCACCTCTTTAAAGTATGCATTACATATTTTTTTTCCTTTTGGTTTATTTTTGGCATCAATGTGCTTGTTAAAATAGAATTAATAGTCGCAATCCTGAACTAAACGTATACACGTAGAAACAAGTAGTAGTATTTGACACTGCTCATCCTAATGAAGTCTAAGATTGTGTCTTATTGTGCATATTTTTTGTATCCCATACTTTAGTGAGCCTAGATTATGATTTTTCAGGAAAATTTTGAACTCGGGTTATACATAGGTACTTTCCTGAATTTAAGCCATAAACAGGATGTTATCCAGGTCAGTATCAGCTTTAGCAAAAACAGTCCTCTGGTGAAGTATGATTGTCAAGGGCAGTGAAATCTGTGGTAATTTGACTTCAGACTTATAGTGGGAGTAGAATTTTGCCCACAGTAACTTCTCTTCTTGAAGCTAGTTACACACAGGATGATAATTACTTTGTACCTTCTTTAATACTAACCCCCCAACATAAGACTCAAATCCATAAACAAGGGAATAACAGATTGTCCTGCTTCGGGCTGGAATAGAGTTCCTGTTTGTTTCAGTAGCTGGAGGAGTGCTGCAGCACAGAGACCCCAGGGGCTCCCCAGGCCCCAGTGCCCTCACCTGTGTGCGGGGGCGGGGGGAGCACAGCTGGAGGGCTGGGCCCCGATTGGCTGATATTCCATGTCATGTGATGTTATGCTCACCATATAAAGGCAGGAGAGGGCTGGGAGAGGCTGCCACTTCTGGGAGTGGGGCTGTGGGGCCTTTGTGTTGGGGATTGCTGGCTGGGAGCAGGCGGGTGTCGGACAGCGGATGGTGAGCAGCTGTATGGTACATTACCCGTTGATACTGCTGTCAGTGTATTATTCTGTTACTATTATTAAACTGTTTTTATCCCAACCCACGAGTCTCCCTTTGCCCCTCCGATTCCCTCCCCATTCCCAAGTGGGGGGAGGGTGGGTGAGCAGCTGTGTGGCATTTAGCTGCTGACCAGGCTCAAACCACAACACAGATTCACAGTCTTGCAATTCAAAAGCTACTACCTACTAGCCCACTAGGATGTTTCTTGCTCAAGCACCAGTTTTGGGATGGGGGAAATGCCAAGATATAAAAGTGATTAATGAAACCATTGAAATAAAACTGACAAAGTGTGAAATAAATGTGTTAACAGACACACTTGGTACACCAGAATCACTATAACTGTCCACCTAAGCACCTTTTCCGGCTGCCATATTAGGCTACATGATAACACCTTTAAAAGAGATCTTCAAGACATTTTTTTTTCTCCTGCTATAGTATACTCAAGATCAAATTCTGATGGGCTGTGTATTATCTACTTCAACTTTAATCACGCACAACTACTTAGTACATGTCTGTTGTTGCTCCTTATTCTTCATTTACTCAAGCAGCCATGGGAGTCATAAGCACTTGGTATTTGTCTGTTTCAGCTGCTGTTAATTCTAAAGGGTCCTTGTGTGTTTATTTTCCTTTGAGGAACCATTGTGATTTTAGCAGCTATGGGCAGAGCTGACTGGTGATAAGCTGAAATCCCTCAGTCTGTGCTTAAACAAAGTTTTTCTCCATCCCTCCAGACTGGGGGAAAAGGAGACAAGCTGGCAATCTAAGTAAGTTCTCCTTGACTGATCAATAAGATATTCCTTGCCGATTTTTAAAATAAATAGATAAAAGTTTACTTACTACCAAGGCAAACTAAAACCATAACTTTCAAAAGGGCTGTGTCATTTGACATGGTAGAGTTAAAATAGCGAGGGAACTCAAAAATGGGGAAAACTTTGGAATGAGAAGGTGAAATCTACTGGAACAGCTCCTTTGAAAAATTCATGCTTTTAGTGCTGGTGAAACAGAGAACGTGTGGTAAGGACAGAATGATAACCAGCCTGCCCCTTCCTGAGCAGTCCCACCCAGCTTCATCTTATGCATAGGCCTTATTCCTGTGCTAGAGAATGGGAATGTGCTTCAGTATAGTGAAGGGAAAGCTACAGTGTTTTTTAAAGAGACCTACCTGTAGCTTCCTTAGCTTCATCTTGAAACTTGTTCCATATCAGTGTTTGTTTGGAATAAAGTCCAAACATTAGGTATACTCCTGGTTTAAACTGACTGGAGCAAATGGTGGTATTCACGAGATGAACCTCGGCTGAAGCGTTGGATTATCTGCAGTGGTTTTGTCCTTAATACTGCAGTCTTGTAGGGAGAAAAGTCCCCTAGCCATTGTTTAACCTCAGAAGACAGTGACTTTAGCTGCCATTTCAGTCAGAAATATATGATGGGGCTTTCCAAGTCTACCAGACAATTTAAATGCAAGGCACAAGCCAGGAGCTGTGCTTCAGAAGGCAGCCTGCACCCTCAAAAGCAGCTCTCATGGTGGGATATGAAGGGAGAATGCAGAGACGCACATATGAATGCAGAACACGGGGAAGGTGAAATATGATCTGAAGACATGCTTCGCTTCCGCAAAACAAGACCTTCCTAGCCCCAGTGTTAACTGGTGTGGGGTCAGGTTTGACTGTTTTCTGGGTTTAGATTCAAGGAAAGGATGAGCTCTTCAGATTTCCTTCCCTTCTTGGAAAAGGCCAGTTCCTTTTGAAACAAAGAATTTTTAAATGTTTTGTACCTGGTTTATAATGGCTTTAATAATCTCTTTGAATAAGACAAAGTATAATTTCAGTGTTTGGAATGGCTGTTGTAAAGCCATTCTGAAAGCTGTTCCTTCAGTTTTAGTTCTCTGACTGAAAGGCAATGAGCTGTATTGTTTGAAATGATTGAAGAAAAATAATTTAGGTGAACATATTTGCAGTAATTTATCCATCTCATAGTGATCTAGCTTCCAACAGTTAATTTTTTAAAAACCCCTAAAATTCCTTCTTGCTTCTCACACATTAAAATGACTTGTACTTACTTTCCATAACAATAGCTTTGACTGTATGCAAGAGAGATTTTTTGAGTTGTATTCATGCAGCATGAAAATACAATTAATTGAATAAGAATAGGCGACATTTTTAAAAGATGTAAGTTTTAGTAATTGTTTATTAGTTACAGACTGATTTATGTCACTAATACCAATGTGCAGCTGACTAAGCATATGTAAATGGAACAGTGCTGCAATGCTGGTTCTTTTTATTTCTGTTTTGAAGGAGAAATTTCAATTTGTTGTCTAAAAATAAACTCAAGCTTATTTTTCTTTGAGGCAAAAAGGGATGTATAAGTATATATGATGCATCAAACTTCCTTATTTGCTATAGTTTACTTCTGTAATATGATTGCTGAAAAATTTTGGCAACACCTTTTTGTTTTTAATATGTGCTTATTTAGTAGGACTCTGTCTCTGATACTTGTGTTTTCATTAATTGCTAATGACATCCTCTTACGTGTTAGAGAAAACTTTTTAATGGAATCAAAGTCCATCATTGCTTTAAATCTATATTTCCCTTCTGAGCCTTTTATTGATTTTTTAGTTATATTTTAAAAATTCAGGTATCCAGCCTGGGTCTTTGTAGAGACTGTCCATATTTTTCTTCAAGATCCAGTTGATTTCATGCCCTTTTCTGATTTTGTATCAGTGCATGAGATACAGATTGGAATAGTGTTACATAGATCAGACAGTGAAAGGTAAAGTTGTAATTTAGTTTTTCTAACATTTAAGGAGAAACTGTAGTGAATTACCTAATAAGCCTAAGACCCAAGTCCTAATAATTTTCAGTCCATCTTAGTGACAGCTTTGCTACTTCTTGAAATACCTTCAGGAACAGATCTGTGGTCTGTAAATTGCAGTGCCACAGGAAAGAACTGGGTTTAAAGATTATTTTTCTTTCTTAAAAGATTTAGTTTGTTGTTTAGGGTTTTTTTATTTATTTCCAAAGGCTATTCCTGAAATCAGTATCTCTGACATTATTTCATGAGTACCCTTGCAGGGAAGAGAAATCAACTGGAGAGACCTGAGACTTCAGCACTTTTCAGGAAGGAAGCTGAGGGCTCTGGTTCATGACCTAGTTGCAGCACAAGAGCAGATTTTAATGTGGGCTTTGCACTTTACAAAGCGTGTCCTAACTAATTGAGTCTTGTCATGTTTTTCTCTCAATTGCTGTGAGAGGAGCTCCAAGATAAAGGTTGATACCAATGAAAAGTGTTTCCTGCTCTAGTGGAGAGGGAACTTGCCTGAGTGATAGAAACATGGCTTCATATCCTTTAGGCAGGGATTGAATTTGGGTTTTCCAAATTATGCACCACTTTTCTTCTTGCTTCTTTCTCCAACCATTTTCTTCTCAGAATGTGAAAGGAAATAAATCCTTATTTTACTGCATTCCTCACTTTGAACGTAAGACTGTGAGTTATAGTGTCTTTTTTAAAGATAAAACTGAGTTAATTATATCAAAATATATGGATGTGCTTTGTTGTTGAATCTGA